TACTCCACTCCCTTCTTGGAGTCGACTGGCGCCATCAGCAACACTTTCTTGATCTCGCTCGTCTTCACCCTCGTCAACGTCTGCTCCACCCCTCTTTCCTTCTACGGAATGGAGAAGTTCGGTCGCCGCACACTCCTCCTCTTCGGTGCTCTCGGTATGTTGATCTGCCAGTTCTTGGTTGCCATCATCGGTGTCACTCAGGGATTCAACAACTCCACTACCCTCGCCGATGGCACCACCCGCGCCAACAACATCTCGGCCGTCAACGCCCAGATCGCGTTCATCGCCATCTTCATCTTCTTCTTCGCCACCACCTGGGGTCCTGGTGCCTGGGTCCTCATCGGTGAGGTCTTCCCTCTGCCCATCCGCTCGCGTGGTGTTGCCCTCTCCACCGCCTCCAACTGGCTCTGGAACACCATCATCGCCGTCATCACCCCCTACATGGTCGGTACCGACCAGGGTAACCTCAAGTCCTCCGTCTTCTTCATCTGGGGAGGTCTCTGCACCATCGCCTTCATCTACACCTACTTCTTGGTTCCCGAGACCAAGGGTCTGTCTCTCGAGCAGGTCGACCAGATGATGGCCGAGACCACTCCCAGGACCTCTGCCAAGTGGCGCCCAACCCACACCTTCGTCGAGAGCTCCCTCCAGAAGGGTGGCTCTACCATGATCGAGCGCAACGGTTCCATTGTCGTTGACACTGAGAAGAACCACCGCACTGCTTCCGTCCACTAGATGGTTAATGGTGTAGTGTTTTATTCACGTCTTGATGACACGAATGAGTCACTTTGAATGATGTAATGTTTGGTTTTAGCTATGCAGTACAGTATAGCATATTACTAAAGACACGGAATGGATAGATGCCTGGGCTGGAGAATGATACCTCTGTAGTTTATACTATAGCATAAACTACTTCTTAATCTTGAACTACCGATGCTCTTCATATATGTGATGTCTTCCTTATTTCTCAACTTTGGAACGTTCTTCTCACATGTGATGTCTTCTCCAATGTTCAGTCTTGTCATGCTCTTCCCATGTCGTATGTCTTCGACCCATCTTTTCATACGTCATCCTGCATCAATACTTTATCCACCCCTAATCACACATACCCACCCCCTCCCTCTGCCTCCTCAGCCCCTCCCTCAACTTCCCATTCCTCTCCCTCTCCCCCTTCCCCACCCCCTTCCTCCCTCTCTTCTCCCTCCCCTTCTCCCTCCCCTTCTCCACCCCCCTCATTCTCCCCTCCACCCTCTTCACCTCAAGCTCATCCGCCCAAGGCCCTGCTTTCACCTCCGCAACACTCTTCCCGACCCACCACTGCGGATCATGTATTCCCAGCCAACCCCCTTGCTTCACCCAATCCGGTCGCGGGACGCCCAATTCATAGATCTCGAAGAGGGGTGATGAAGCTATGAGTGTGGCGTGGGTGCGGAGAAGGTTCAAGGCGAGGAGGTGGGTGGGCTTGCTGGTGGTGGTTGGGATGGTGAAGCGCGTTGTTTGCGCTGGGGTGGTGGTGGAGAGGGTATAGGTGATACCGGATTGTATGCGGTGGAGGAGGGGGTCTGTCTCTGAGATGGCGGTTGTCTCGTCCAGCAAGGCGGATACGGAGGGTGTTGGGGAGGTAGAGGGGTGGCGAATAGATGGGCGGGGAGTCCTTCGCGTTGGTGACGACGGTCGTGGCGTGGTGGCGGGGGTTGATGTCGTCGCCTCGCTGCGCGATCGCTTGATTGGTGGTGATGAGGCCAGCTCATCGTCCGCTCTACGCTTCGAGGATTTAGACGTCATGGTGGCAGTAGACGTGATAGTAGTAGGTAAGTGGCTTGGAGAAGCAGCAAGGTGTTGGTCAGATTCGAAGATGTCATTTGGATATCTAGAAAATAGGACTAAGCTCTAGTCGAAGTGAAGGAGAGTTTTTACAGACACCATAGCTCATGCGCCAAACGTAACAGCCTCTTTCACCGCAGTATATCAGATCCCATTCGCCTTGACTGTACGCGTACATAGAGCCCCACACATGACTGAACCGTCATTCACTGAGTTGGACAACCTCCAGAGCCACGAAGAGACATCTTCCCCAGCATCTTTGCAGTGTCTGGATCATCATGGATGCTCTCCTCACCGAGATCGTTCGGGCCAAGAGCTATCCACATCATCAGTAGCTCAATGCCCGGTATAGTTGGCTGGTTCACTTCCTTGCGATGCCTCTCGACAACCTTCATCAGTACTTCAGGCTTCACGGCCCCGAGCTGGGTCGTACGTGGTCCTGGAAGTGAACGATTGGGGTGAGCTTTGGTGGTCAAGTATATTCCAGTTACACCTGTGATCTTGTCCGCGTAAGGTATATCACCCTTGAAGCCGAGCTCGCGCATGACCCAATGTTCTGACTGGACTTCAGGACCCTTCCAGGCTTGGAATGCTGGCATCATGTGGGGCGTCTTGGGAAGGGCAGTGTGGAGAGCGTCTAGCCTAGACTTGCGTTGAGCCTTTGTAAGCTCTTTCCATGATCTCGCAGTGTTGTAGCCGTTCTGAGTTGGGGGGAGAGTTGCCATCTTGTAGGACTTAGCAAATGCCTTTGCCGCTCTGACGGGATGATCCAGACCCAGTTCGGCGACACCCAAGAAGCGGTAGAAGCGAGCGATAGCCGACACGGGAACTGCCTCAAACCCCAAGAGCTCGTTGTACAATCTGGCGTCCTCAGCATAGCCCACCTTCTTCGGTACATGCTCGTACTTCCGGCCGATTTCATCAATGGCCATGTCTGAGAAGAAGAACATCGCTAGTTCAAGGCAGACCATGCATTCGAGTGCACGAAGTTGAGCTAGGAAATCGGGTTCCAGACGTGTACTCATCATATTGTTGTGCTCCAGTGTAATGTCGATGAACTTGAGTGTGTCGTCCCACTTCGCGAATGCCATGTCTCCATTGCCTATGTTGAATGCCATGTCGCCCATGCATTTGATGGAGAGAGCGATATCGTAGACTTCAGCGACAGCAGCTCGTAGCCATGCAACTCCCTGAGTCATTGCCTGCTTGACGCGTTCAACAAGGACAGCATCAAACGAGGTGGTGAAGGCGACCTGCTGTCGGCAAGCTACACCGCTGACTGTGATAGCGATCAGTTAGATTAGCCAACGTTTCATACGCAACTCGCCATGGCAGAACTCACCTTTCTCCATAGGTAAGACCAGCTTCTCTTGATCCTCCCTGCTCAGAGTGTTGATGATACCGGGCGGCTTGTGTAGTGCGAACTTGAACTCATAAGCCATGAAGTTGGCGAAGTCCAGGATTCGTAGAACGCGAGCAAACTTGGCCATGTCTTGCAAGAGCAACAATCCCACTGTCGTCTTTCCACCATACCTCGACTTCTGGTGGAAGCTGGGATTGACACTGACTTCAGCAACATGCTTGTCGAACTCATCCATCTTCAACTTGAAGTAAGGTGTTTCGTGATTGATCAGAGCGGTTTCAATCATCGTACCATAGCCATTGTGAAGTTTGATCCATTTGTTGCCCTCATAGAAGATGTTGGTAGCTTCCTGATTGATAGCCTTGTTAGTGCGAAGAACAGCGACCTGGAAGTCATAGTCTTCGACGAGATAGCGGTTGGGCGGCCCACGAACGCGATCAGAAAGTAGCAGGTAGCGGAGGATGTCGCGAAGGATGTGCTGCGGCAGCACTTCCAGACGAGACATGATGGCATACGCTTTCAGGTCGCGGTGGCAGCTGGTCGCTAGGGGTGAGCGTGCAGTCGCGACTGCCGGCTACCGCAGAGCTGTAAGTAAACGGTACCCTTTGAACAGAGCAATACCTGAGACGGGATCACACGGATTGGTGAGTCGCGTCGAGGTGAACGATGAGAGTGAAAGGCATTAACTCGACGGCCTCGATGAGCGTGATGAACGAGTTTTCCGTTGACGACGTCATCTTTCTACAAGCTTCCAGGCAGCAATGTCAAGTGGAAGGTGCTGATGACTTCCTGTGTTGTGCAGCGAAAGTGAGTGAGTAGAGACGGGCAACTGCGAACAACAGCCCTGCGGGGGTCTTACCGAGGCTTGTATCGATGTAGCTTAGCGTCTCCGCTTAGCTCAGGTCCCTGCGCATGCTCCCCGGGGCCGGCTCTTCTGCCTTCATACCCATCCTCCACGCAGTCCATCTCATCATGTCTAGCCGTCTCTTATCATTACCGCGCGAACTTCGCGACATAATCCTCGAATTTGTCATCAGTGCGCACGTCGAGCCTCCAAGACACCCTGCATCAGATGACACCCCTCGCAAGGCCTCAGTAGGCACGAATTGCCTGCGAATACCCGTCTTGCCACCTGCCGAGCAATATGCTACTTACGGACTGCTCCTCACGAGCAGACAACTGCACCACGAGACCACAACCCGTCTCCGCCGCCCGACGGCGTACTTTCTCGACGTCATGATGGTCAACGACAAAGAGCTCTGGCCCACATGGACCTGCTGTCCAGCTCGAAGCAAGGAGTCGATCGCTTTCATTGGCATAAACGTGCGCGAAACCAGAGATAGGCCGGCTCTCTATTTGAAGCGGCTTCACGACATTCTTCTCGATAAAGCTAGTTTTACCGGTCTCGTCGAATACATAGCGGATGTCTGTTGCCCTGGTCACCAAATTAGGAAACTTGGGTTGAACCTCCTTGTACCCACTTCACCTGAGCGAGCCCCGCATGTCAGTACTGTGCAGTTGGACTGGTTTGGGTGGCAAGGAAGATTCATACAGCGGGACATGCGTCCTGTGATGAGCAAAGAAGATATCATGAACAACGAGAGCCTAGCCCTGAGACTACTAGCCTATCGAATGGCCTTTTTCTTACTATCAATAGAGATAACCGTATCGGAACTGAACCGCGTGGGCTTCAAACCGTGGGCTGGAGGCTTTGACAAGAAGGTCATTATTGTCGATGGGGACAAGAGGGCTGAGCTAGAAAGGCGCTGGGAAGGGATCCATGATCCGCACGTCCAGAGCGCTACTGACGCACTTAATCACGACAATATTTCAGGAGCAATTTCTCCGTCCACTCCCACAAACCTCCCGCCAGAGCTTGGTCTTTAGCCTCCACCGTCAGTTTCTCCGTCGAGTCTACGCCCCCAGGCGTGTAGTATCCTCCATTCCGCAATGCTTCTTTTTCCGCTCCGGCCGCACACCAAAGCTGATTCAAAACGCCCTCATGCGGCTCAAGCCACTTCTCGCCCGACATCCGCGACGTTACATTGACGAACGTCTTACTCCAGCCGGCCATCTCGGCATTCATGGGCGTCTTGACGAGTCCAGGGTGGATGGCTACAGACGTCAGCTCAGGATGCCGACGCGCGAGCTCCGCTGCGAAGAGGATGTTTGCGAGTTTGGACTGGCCATAACGAATCCATGCGCCTAACATCATCCGAGACATTGCGCTTCCAGCTTCCAGCTCATCGAAGGCAATACCGCCTCTAATGGCTCGATGGAATTCGTAACCGGCGGAGGTGTTACTGATGACACGGACGTCTGCACCGGGGTCTTTGGCTGTTTTGAGTAGGATGGGCATCAACTCTCTGGTGAGCATCACATGGCCGAGATAGTTCGTCGCAAATTGGATCTCGTAGCCATCAGTACTCAGGACTGCTGGTTTGGCAATGATGCCGGCGTTGTTCATCAGTGTGTCGAGGCGGTCATGTTTGAAGTCTCGAGCGATGGCCTCTTTAACTGCGCAAAGGGACGAAAGATCCATCTTGATGAAGCTCAAAGATGTCCTGGGGTGCTTGGATTTGATGTCGGCGATCAGTGCATTCGCTGCAGTGACATTGCGGCCTGTGAAGTAGATGTGTAATGGACTGTGCGCCGCCAGTGCTCGCACACTTTCCTCTCCCAATCCTGCAGTGCCTAATATGACTGTCAGAAGAATGTCAACGACGGGAAACAAGTTTAATCACCTCCAGTCACCAAGATCACTGTTCCGGAAAGGTCTCGAATGTCTTTTGCAGGGTCGAAGTCTTTGAAGCCTTGCATGTTGAAGCTTTGGTCGCGAGGTGCGTTGATATGGACATCTCAGTTTCTGCAGATGCACAGTGCCTCTTATATACATGGCGCACTATTGCCATCTTCCAATTCGGACGAAAAGTCAGGCTTCTTGTGGCGCTTCTTCAAGGTGGTGGTGGTGCTGCGACAACTATCTCCGCCGGGGAGATGTGTGGCCGCAACGTGCAAAACGCCGGGATGATCGACGAGAGTGCAAAAACGCTATACCACATTCGGCCATGAGACAGAACTATGGCTGCAGGCACAAATTTCGAAGACTGCACAAAGTCACCTACCATAATTCACGTTACGTGAGCTGGACGTCCAGATCAAAAGTAAGGTGGTAGATGCATTACATGAGCTGTCATAGTGTCACCCAGTCGCGCTTGCTCCTAGTCCGCCGACGCTAGCACGTCCCATGTGCAGCTTCGCGTGCCGTCCCGTCGCATTCGTCGCGTTCCTTTCCAAGCCGTTTACGTCTCGCACCACCTACCCCGAGTTCGCCAGACACTCTAGCGCGTGCGATAGGTCGACCATCACGCGTGGGCCAGTACACGCTATCGCGATGAGCGGTACCCAACCCGTTGACCGTAGCATCGGCCTCACGGAGACCGCACCGCGTCGCACTCTAATACGCAATATTTTCCGGACGGTGTTCAATCTTGCCGCTCGTGGGATGGTATACTTGCTTCGTGAGGGACATCGCGTCGATTCGTTTGTCTAAGACTGCCTAAAGCTGAGCTTTGGTGGGATATTCACGTTGGTCCAAGTCCTGTTTCCGTTACCTGGTGCGGATACGATCAAAAACTGAGAAATGCGCGGTCGCTTTACTACTTGTTTAGACCTTGTTGTCTGGGCTTTGGTCATGCGTTCCCTCATCCCATGCGAATTCCTTCGTCATAGTAATCCCTCTTTCTCTCCTCATACTCTGCGAGAGCTCGCTCGTAGTCACACTGCCTTCTTTGCACAAGGCGGTACCCGGGCACTCCCCATGCACAGTCGTTGTCGTGAGACACATTTCGTCTTCATCCAATCGCGATTTGCCCCACTGGCTCCGAGTGTCATTGTTAATGGTGTCTCCCAACGTATCCTTGAGGTTGATCTTGCGCGTGCGCTTCTTGGATATCGTTTCGAGAGGGTTTAGCGAGGGGCCGGATGATTCGGAGTGCTGCGATGATTTGAAGGAGGATGGCAGGCGCGTCGAGAGTGCGTTGATCACTTTCATCATGAGCGGTCGCAGGGTGGGTAGGCATCCGGAAATGATGCCGATGGAGGGTTCTACGGAGGACCAGATGAAGACGTCGCTCTTCGCCCAGCTGATGTCTTTCGACTGGACGAGGTGGGTGATGGTGATGATTCGGTAGAGCGAAGCAAAACAGACGCTGTGCTTGTTAGCGAGACACCGTCCAAGGGACTGACGTTGAGCTGCGACGTACAAGCTACCGAGTAGGAACGTGAGACAGACTGCCACCTTCTGGGTACGTCCCATGTGGAGCTTAAGTACGCTCGCTATGGGTATCGTGAGGATGCACACATCGCCGAAAAGGTTGATGATGCCGACACCGAGATAGAACTACATCTTGGTCAGTCGCTGTTTGCAGCTCGGTCTTGGAGTATTCTCACCTTTGCCTCGTCTACCTGGACCACGCCTTTATCTCCGTACCACTGGTTCCAGTAATAGTGCAGTGGTCGTGTATAGAGCGGTAGAACGATGTGGTTGGTGATAAGATAACCTGTAGTGAGAGCGATGCAGAAATAGCCAAAGTACGAGAGGCCAAATATGCGGCGGTATAGCGCCAGAATCGAGAACTTGATGATGCACACACTCCATGCGTAGATGAAGACATATGCGAAGGTGATCTTACTGTGGTCAGCACTGCGATACTTGTGGGGTTCTGGAAGTCGCAACGCACTATCGTAATCTGTCGCATCTCATACGGTCCCAAGGACCATATGTGCTTTCCAAGGCCGTAGAAACCGCCTAGTCTGGACGTTAGCATCCGTGATTAGTCTTGCGGGATCGACTGCTTTACCTGCAATGCAGCACGCTAGGTTGCCCGCATTCAGCGCAAGACCGAGAAACATGAGATAATCATCTAGACCCAGTGGCTCACGCTTTACGTGCAAGCGAGTGTAGAGGCGTAAGCCCACGAAAACGAGAGAAAGGACGAAAAGTACAACGCCGATAGCATTGTTAGAAGCAGTGCGGGATTCGTTCAAGTCGAGACCCGGAGGGGGGTTTGCAAAGTAATCGAACGCCATGTCAAAAGCCGGTTGTCGTCGGAATCACGCAGTTTGGTTTGCAAAGTGTCAGAGAATGGTACAACATCATTTGATGCAGAGGGTCAAGTTGTATTATCGCCGTGCAGGCTTTTGGGTTTTGCACCCCCATTCACTCGGCGGTTTTCTGTGTCACGACATGCATTTATTGCAGTGAACCCATAAGGCCGTGCAATCACATGTCCAGTCGGATGAGTTTCCCGCGTAATCGCACCGATTGTGCAACGAGTGAATGCCAGTGTTTTCGGGGAGAGTGCCGGTTTCGGTGCGAAATGGAATCGACGCTAGCCATACTTGTATAGGCTCACCTGGCTGCGAGAACGCGTGGTGTGACGAGCCGGGTACCTGATGCGCACTAGCCCGATGACAAACGATCTTCGTGTGCAGTTGCATTGTTTGGCAATCCGGGAAGGGCTGGCAGTTGGGCAATCGGACCTTTCCACGACGCGGGAGATAACGACGTGCCGCAGCGGCCGCCGTTGTACGGTGACCGACCGGAAGCGGCGATCTTGGCAGGTAGCAAGCAACCTTAACAAAGAAATCTGGGTCCACGACAGCTCTCTTCTCCGCAGTTTCACCAGCCTGACAGTCTTGACTCAATTCATCGAGTAGGAACCCCGATTATCGCGCTGCAACAAGATGGCACCCAAGGAAACCAAGTTCAAGGTGGCTGCCGCCCACGCTGCGCCCGTCTTCATGGACAAAGCGGCCACCATCAAGAAGACTATCCGCCTCATCGAACAAGCTGCCAAAGATGATGTCAAGCTCTTGGTGTTCCCCGAGACCTTCATTCCTGGCTATCCTGTATGTGCATCGGCTGTTATCTCAAACTTTGTATGCTGGGGCTCAGGCTAATATTACCACAGTACTGGATCGAATGTTACCCACCCCTAAAGCAGGTCGCTGCTTTGGCCAAATACGCCGAAGAGAGCGTTGTGGTGGAGCCGAATGGGGAGGATGTGAGTGCTATCCAGGATGCCTGTCGCAGGACCGGTGTAGCCATCAATCTGGGCGTATGCGAACGTGTCGCCAACGGCTATACGCTGTTTAATTCGCAAGTTATTATCGATAGCGACGGCACTATACTCGGTGTTCATCGGAAGCTTCAGCCAACCTATGTCGAGCGCATGGTGTGGGCTCAGGGCAACGGAAGTACATTGCGCAACTGGCCATTATCGCTCGGGTACAACCTCGGAGGTCTCGCGTGTTGGGAGCATACCATGAACGGCGCGCGCCAGGCCCTCATCACACAGAACCAGCACATTCATGCGGGAGCTTGGCCGGCATTGTCCACCATGGCCGGCTTCGAAGCCGTTGCTGATGCGCAGATCGAGGCGTTGATGAAGGCCCATGCCCTCACTGCCCAAGTCTTCGTCATCACCGCTTCCAACTACGTCGACCAACAGTGCCTCGACTGGATGGAAGAGAACCTCGGAAAGCAGGACCTCGTCAAGGCTGGCGGCGGCTGGTCTTCTGTCCTTCATCCGTTCTGCTCGTACATCGCTGGTCCGCACACGGGTGGGGAGGAGAAGTTGGTACAAGGCGAAATTGACTTCTCGCACATGGGATCGGTAAAGGTATGGATCGATGCGGCGGGCCACTACCAGCGTCCAGAGATTCTGCAGTTCGCATTCGATGCGCGCCCACACTGGGCTGATGAAAAGACCGATCGTTTCAGGGTGCGTACAGATGAGAAGAAGTCGGACACTGAGAGTGGTTATTCGTCTCAAGAGTGAGGTCAAACTAGAGGATGTGGTCTTGGCAACTGTGCCGCATCGGCAGGCAGTCGCGATATGAAGTGGCGTGGTATGTGTGACATGTTACTGGCTGGACCTCGTGGAGGCTTAGCGACTCCGCCATCTTGTGCAGCCTCATTCAGGCGGGGTCAGATGGAATCTCCCACGAAGTTTCAACACTTTCATTATACCATTATCGTGTCATTGCCCAAACGTATTGTTATTCTTTTGCCATGCCGGTCACATTCGGTGCCGTAGGCGACATCATCTCCGTCGTTTTGCTTGTGAAAGACCTAGTCGCAGCGCTTGACGAGGCTCGCGGCTCCAGAGCAGAGTATCAGGCCGCCGTACGCGAGCTTTGGACTCTCGACCGTACGCTCCTCGAAATCGATCTGCTTACTAGACAGCATGGGGATGGAGCTACGCCTGAGTTACGGAGCCTCTGCGAAACAGCAAAGCAAGCCGTAGCTAGATGCAATGACCGCGTTAGCGCCTACAAGAAGCGCATCCAGGGATACCAGCGCGCTTTTGAAGTCGGCAAAGTGAACAGGGTCAGAGAGATTGGAAGAGCGATTGGTTGGAGGACTGGAGAGAAAGAAGCGCTGGAGCAGTTTCGCGCAGAAATCGCAGGGACGACATCAAGCCTGCAGATGTTGTTGATCACGGCCAATGTGTAAATATCATATTTATCCTGATCAGAGCTGATGCTGATGTTGCATAGCACGTTACTTGGGGTGAGTCGAAAAGAGATGAATGACAAACTCGACGAAGCAAAGCGCAGGAACGACACGGCGACGCTCTTGCATGATGCATCACTCATAGACATCAAAGACGGCATTGAGAATGCTAACCGCAACATCGAAGCTGCCAAATCGATATTGGGGAACGTATCCGAAGCACTCAAGCTAGATTGGCTCCGAAAGCTTGGTTCTGAGCTTAAAGGCATGATGCGAGGCGCGACGACGATCAACTTCGCGACTTACCGTGCTGTCATGCGTCTGCAGAACTCACTCCCCAGCCACCTAGAGCGGAGCATGTTCGAAGAGCCAATAATACTGGACGATCCCATGGGTCGTATCGCACCTGTTCATCTGCAATTCATCACCTCTTGGGATGCCTTCCACTCTGTGCTTGAGCTGCGATTCCAGGACATGCCAGGCCATATGAAAATTGGACGAAGGCAATACGCCTTACAAGCCAACGGTACGGGAAGAGAGATCGAGTTATCGCGTCCATGGCACGCTGCCTTTATACCTGGTCAGCGAATTGACATGAGCTTCGTCTTCAATCAAAATGATGCCAGCGAGAGCAGTAGCACTACCTGTCCAGGATGCTTGACTAAATCTACGTATTCCAGCGATGCTGAGATAGAATGCACGAATTGTCAAATCCGATTCCGGAGGATCACTGTGATTCAGGAAGACGAATCTCCGTTACAAGAGGATCAGCATACACGAGAGTCCAAACTGCGAGCAGAAGCTACAGACGCTGGCAGTAGAAAAAGAAGTTTCTACGAGCTTGCTGAGCCCGAGGAAGAGGACCTAAGAAGCTTCAAACGAGTGCGACTCATCTCAAAAAGAAAGCGTGCTGGTAGACTTGGGATCTTTTCGCCTGGAACGGCTAAGGGAGAAGCACGAACACTACAGGAGAAGTACGAGTTAGATCATTCTGCGGAACTCTTTGGATCACTGGATGGACGTTTCACGCACCTTCGAGCGCAAGTCGATCGATTCCACGCCCAGGTCAACAAGAAAACAGTCGAGCAAGAACTGAAAGGCGGCGAGGAATTCAGTCTCGAACGTCATGGAAAACTCATGGCTTCTCTCAATTCACGTAGAGATAGGAAGGAGAGGGTTAGAAGGAAGAGTCAATCAGACATTGGCCCAACAAAATTTGCCCAAGAGGGCGGGGCGGACAAAGGGAGCCTTCGATGGGTTACCGCCACCAGACCCAGCGATTTCAAATCAAAGGCTAACATGCGAGCCGTAAGCCAAGCTGCGATGAACAGCTATCTAAAGGCAACAAAATAATTGGCTAGAAACATAGCCAGGGCCACTGGCGAAGCCACGGATGATTCGCAAGAAATGGCCCCAAAACGATCAGATCATCCACCCTGGGAGCCACAACCAGAATCAGTCAAGGGCGCGCTACGATCTGACTAAGAGTATGGTTCGCATCTCCAAAGATGAAGACGAAGGCTTGTAGAATTACCAAGGCTCACTCCTGACTATAACATGTCTACCATAGAAGGATCAAACATCAGATCGCCGGCTGAAAGACGCTACCAATAGCACTCATTCCTACATACACCACTTCTTCACCTGCACAGCCTTACATCCATCCTTCCCAAGATACCAATCATCACAAAGCGTATTGCACTCCACTCCCGGCTTCACAAACACTCTACCCTCCTGGCTCGGGTCGCCATTTGGAGTACCGTACCATGGTAGTCGCCATTGCACTTCGAAGTCGTCGGCTTTATAGCCTGTCGCGCCTGTTGGATGTGTAAGCGCACATGTCGATGAACCGATGGCGGTTTGAAGGAGGGAAGTGAGGGGAGACGTACGATACCCATGGCGACAGGCGCAATAATTTGGACCAGGCGTATGGGGGTTGTCGTGGCCCCATACATAGGTGCAGGAGGTGGTGATGTCGCACTTGTTCTGGTCGGGAGTGGGGATGCATGTGTCGCAGGGGGGTTCGTAAGGCGGAGAGAGGGCGGTGGTGAGGGCGAGGAGGGAGGAGACTACGGCGATGGTGAATGTCTTCATGATGAGGTTAAGCGATTTGGCTGATGCAAGTTTGATGAGTAGATGGTCGATTGAAGTGGGTGTTGTTGTACTGTTGCTTCGCTTTATGCAGATGCTGAGCCATGAGCGGAGTGGGAAGGTCTTCTTATAGTTGAGACGCTCTATCATAGCTGTGTGAGTCCTAATTCAGCATCGTATCGTACTTGCGCCATTACGATACCTCCAAGACATGTATTCCGTATCGGCGTTGGAGCAGCAACACCGCATCGACACTCATGATTAGATTAGTACGAAACCACCTCAGCCAACATGATATCCACACGTAAATCTGAGCCACTATAGTCTTACTGGACTCCTTGATCTCGTACTCCAAGACGTCTGTAGATGCCAAGCAAAAAGCCCATGCACGCGAATGGAAGCAGCGACTCCATGGCTTTCGCCGCATCACCTAGCGCTGCCCGCAACCCACTGCTATAAAGATGCCATGGGGTAAATATAGCGGAGATGGCTGAATTGAACAACTGATGATATGCCTGGCGCGGTCAGGAGATCTCGTGTTGCTTCCCCGCATTCCTCATCTTGCTTATGAGGCAGACAACACGAGTGTTAGCGGCTTAGGAGGAAGCACATGTGGATATTGCTCGCCAAATTGGAATTGTGAATGCAATGAGAATAAATGTTGCTAATTGTGTGACCGGGATATGCCAATGCTATGCGACTCCATAAACGCCATGCCGTGATGCGTATGCAATTGATCCTCCTTGTCTCATCTCTTTCCCTTCTTGAGTACCAGCCCCTTCCAGCCCTTGCTATCCTTGATCCGCCTGAGCGCTTTGCTCGCAACGGGATCTTTGGCCAAGTCATCCAAGCAAGCCTTCTTTTCCTCTTCACTCTCGTGCTCGTGGAACTCGCACCATTCTTTCTCCATCTTTGGCCTCTCGCCCCTAGCCAACATTGTTACCAGCTCGAATAAGAAAGCTTGCGGAAGCTGACTCCGTAGAGCTATCGTGCGCTCGTCGTCGCGGTCGGGGTTCCAGTACACGGAGTACATGTCGAGGAAGTATCGGCACAGCGGTGCGTCTGGTGGAAGGCTCTCGTAGGCGGCGATGACATTGCTGTGGTCGGGCATGACTTGCAGGATTTCATCGTTCGTTTGCCATGCTAGGATGACGGCGCGACGTAGCTTCGGGATGGCGTAGCGGTGTGCGAAGACGTAGAGCGAAATGAACCGGCGCTCTAAGAAGCCTTCCAGCCCTCTCCACTTGTATGGTCTTGAGCAGCATGGGCACAACGTCTCTTTGGGTATCTCGGGCTTCTCAGCTGGGTTTCGTGGGGGCGGTACTACGGCAGCTTTTTCGGGCTCGGCATCGCCAGGGACTTTCTCCGCACTGGGTGCAGGGCTGCTTCCTGCTGCTGCATTGGCCGGCGTGGCGTCCGCTTCCGTATCGTCAGTCTCTAGAGCAATGCCCCAGGACGCAGTATCCACATCATCGCCCTCCTCCTGACCGGTGGTGCTCGAGCTGTCGCCGCCATTGACACTGACTGCATGAGTCGGAGGGTGGACTTCCTTTCCTCCCTCGATGAGATGATGTGGTATGAAGCCCGTGTATAACCATAGCATGAACGCGTCAAACACGTCAGGGGTTGTGTCATCGAGGTCTAGCGTAGTTCCCGACTTCTCGTAGGGCGAATTGCTCTTCTCCTCTAAGCATGTGTTGAAGTATGGGGAGCATCGTCGGAGAAGTTCGCGGTGGCAGCTGAAAGACTCGGCGTAGTCTTTTCCGCCGACTTTGACTGTGATGATCGTCTGGTCAAAGTTTCTGCCTCTGGTTAGCCGTTCAGCCTAGTGAATCTGAATGTACTGACAGTACTTACCGGAACGTGTGTCCAAGCGTAGTAGCACCTTTTGAGTGCATGAAAGGCATTTTGAGTAGATAGTCAGGTTCCATTCATTGCCGCCTTACTGAGGACTTCATCGCCATTATATCTCTACTTTCCAGCCCGGGTAATACGGGGAGCTCAGTTTCAGCAGTCGTGACAGATGCATCTTGGCGTTCGACCTTGCGGCGGTTGAATGCTTGTACGAGCTTCTGTGCCCTGTTCGAAGAGGCTTAAGCGGGGTGACAATGAGCTTAATTGAAACCGACAGGCCCTAGAGAACGAGTGACGGCTGGGCTCAGCTGGGCGATCTTAGAACGAGGTAGGGGTCTTGTCGAGTCGTGCGGAAGAGGATGAGTTTGATAGCCGTTTCATGATGCTTGGCGGGGAAAGCATGCCTCAGCCGACATCTGGCTCGCACGAGATCTTCATGGCGGTGAAGTCGAGCCTGGCATCTCCTTGCGCGTGGCCTAACGTAGAGACGGGTGGTGCCGCAGGATGGCTTGGTGATGGAGTGGATGGGGTGGTTGGAGCGTGATCGAAGACGCGTCGCATCCCCGCGTCGTCGATGTTGGCATCCGTGCGCCGCTGACCCACTGCGTCATCAATCCCTAGGAACCGCCATGGGCCCAACACCAAGCAAAGACAATATACACTCTACGAATCAGATAGTCACCGAGCATATGCGAACGATGACAGCTCGTAGTGTGATGCTTACCCCGCGTCTGTACGATGTCAACCCCGCTTCAACCGCAGCCATCAGAACTTGGCCGCATCCAGCTATGCGTATAACTATGCCGTTGTGGTGCGCGTCTTGTCTGCAAGTCGATCCGTATCCTGAAAGGTCTTCAAGGACAAACGACTCCAGATGGCTTCTAAACTCGACACGAAGACCTACCTAGGCAATATCATCAACAACCAGCTCGTCCCAACCCCTGAAACGCGGCATTCCATCAATCCAGCCAATGGCCAACCGCTGTACGAAGTGCCGGTAGCCAGACAGGAAGATCTCGATGCCGCCGTAGACGCAGCGCGCAAAGCATTCAAGACATGGAGCTCCACATCCTTCTCCGAGCGAGCAAAACTACTCCTGAAGTATGCCGACGCGATAGAATACCACCGCGATGAGCTGGAGCAACTCCTCACCTCGGAGCAGGGCAAACCACTATCGCTATCCCGAACTGAGATGGACTGCGCACTAACATGGCTGCGCGCCTTCGCGACTATGGAGATCAAAGACGAGATCCTACAAGAAGACGACGAAAAGACCATCTACTCAACCCACCCACCCATCGGCGTATGCGCCGGTATCGTGCCCTGGAACTGGCCGATTCTGCTGGGTCTAGGCAAACTGGGCCCAGCAGTCGTCACAGGAAACACATTCATCATGAAGCCATCGCCGTACACACCATACTGCGACCTCAAGCTCGGCGAGCTAGCCATGACCGTGTTTCCTCCCGGCGTCGTTCAGGTTCTCAGTGGAGACGATCGACTCGGCCCTTGGATAACAGAGCACCCTGGTATCGACAAGATCTCGTTCACAGGCTCGATAGCAACAGGCAAGCTGGTCGCAGCATCCTGTGCGAAGACGCTGAAGCGGTATGTGCTAGAGCTTGGTGGCAACGACGCAGCGATCGTGTGTGAAGACGTGGACATCGACAAATGCCTACCCAAGATCGCGACGTTGAGTTTCCTCAATTCGGGCCAGATATGCATGTTGACGAAGCGTATCTACATACATGAGAGTATCTACGACACTTTTCGGGATAAGATGATTGAGTTTACAAAGGAGAACATCAAGACTGGTGCTGGGACGGAAGAAGGCGTTGTGGTAGGGCCGTTGCAGAATAAGATGCAGTAAGTACATATCCCTCACTTCATTCAATCTCTGTACTGATACGTTGCCCAGATTCGACAAGGTACAAGACATGTACGCCCAAATCCCCCTCCAAAACTGGACCCCCGCCCTCGCCGGCACCATAACCCCAACCCCCCAAACCGGCTACTACATCACCCCCACCATCATCGACAACCCGCCCGAAGACTCCCGCATCGTCCAAGAAGAGCCCTTCGGTCCCATCGTCCCACTACTCAAATGGCGCGACGAGAACGACGTCATCGACCGTGCCAACGCGCTCAGAACGGGGCTTGGCGCATCGGTGTGGAGTAAAGACATCACGCGCGCGGAGGCCATGGCACGAAGGTTGGATGCGGGGAGTGTGTGGGTGAATTCGCATTTTGATGTTGATCCCAGAGTGCCGTTTGGGGGACATAAGGAGAGTGGCGTGGGCATGGAGTGGGGGATGGAGGGGTTGAGGCATTATACTAATAGTAGGAGTTTGTGGGTTTGGAAGAGGGTTTTTGAGTAGGGTGGTGGGGGTGTGCTGTTGAAGCAATGAATGAGTTATTGTTGAGCAAGCGAGGATGATATTTTCTGTTATGACTTAGGCCTTGCTGTTGCCCCATTCTCTCCACCACTCGTAGAGCGCGATACCACCAGCGGTTTGAACGTCTGTTGAGAACGTTAGTGTGTGAGTCTTGACGTGAGTTACAAGAATGAGACTTACTCAAACTTCT